GGGAGGCTGCCATATCGCACCATCGGCCCCTTTGGCCATCACTAGTAGGCGGTAGGTGAAGAGTCCTGACCACGGATACAACAACGGAGAGTGTCCGAGCCAGGGCTCGAACCGGCAATGTTCTGATCACAAGGCGAACTGCCAACTCTTGAGCCACGAACGGCCTAACTAGCAACAATAATAATACTAATGTGATGTAACACAAGCTTATAGGGATCATGTTATATACTTTTCCATAGCATTACATTTGAATTCAACAGTTCAATCTTTCAAATAATGGACAGATATTTGTGGGATCATGATACATTTGTGAATATATTTTAATCTAAATATGCATATGTACAGACAGATACATTTAATAATCATGACAATTATGTTGTATTACATTACAGTGGTCAAAGAAGCTTGCAAAGACAAGCGTCTGGACTTCTTTAAGTTGCTTGAAGACGTTTCACCTCTCATCCGAGAAGCTTCTTCAGTTCTAAGGTCAAATGGTGGAGAGTCCCAGATATATACCTAGTGGGAGTAACCCCCCACAGAGGGACAAAAGGACCCCCTGATGATCCTCTAATCGCCTGAGCCAAGGTGTGAAACTGGGCGTGGGTCCCAATCAGCCAGAGTTTCGGGTGAGCTCATTGTGAACACAAGCGCATGGCACAACACAGAAGAGCCACCTCCACAGGACAAGACTCAGCAGTCCATCTGCATCTTAAGGATAAAGGACATTCTTTTGAGGATGCCAATGTTCACATTTTGGACAGAGAGGACAGATGGTTTGAAAGAGGAGTGAAAGAAGCCATCTATGTCCACTGTGAGCGACCATCTTTGAACAGAGGCGGGGGTTTACGACACCAACTCTCTGCCATCTATAATCCAGTTTTGAGATCCCTTCCCAGACGCCTTAACGCCCACTCACATCCTGGGCCATCTGACCTCAGGAATTCGCATGATAAGGTGGGGCCAGGTTTCACAATGAACTCACCCGAAACTCTGGCTGATTGGGACCCACACCCAGTTTCACACCTTGGCTCAGGCGACTAGAGGATCATCAGGGGGTCCTTTTGTCCCTCTGTGGGGGGTTACTGCCACTAGGTTTATATCTGGGACTCTCCACCATTTGACCTTAGAACTGAAGAAGCTTCTCGGATGAGAGGTGAAACGTCTTCAAGCAACTTAAAGAAGTCCAGACGCTTTTCTTTGCAAGCTCCTTTGACTACGATGACCTGGATGACTGAGAACCTTCACAGACTTACATTACAGTGATTTAACGTTAATTTACATTCAAAATGTGAAGTCAAAGTCTATTTACGTAACTTTAATGATATTCTACAAGAACAGAACATTACTGTAAAATGCACAGTAAAATACCTTCATATTAGGGTTTTTTCCTACGGTCGCAGCGTTACCCGCGACCTTGTTGTTGTTAGTTCACATTCATTGGCCGATGCTTAGCGTCATGTTATTTATATTAATTGCAATTCCTACCTCTACATTTCTTTTTCAAAATATATAATTAGCACAGCGTGTCCATGCAATGTTTTACATTGTGGCATGCAGAGAAATCTAAACAAAGAAGCTCACAGAGAGAGATTGAGCTTGTTATTTAACCCCAAGCTGGTAGGGGGAGCTCCTTAATAAAACACTTGTGGTGCTACAGTATGCCTCAAGGTTCAACAACAGCACAACAGAAGTCACTCATGGTACAGCACGCTCTCTACAAAACAACAACTGTCAGTGACGCTGCACCACGGCGTAAACACAACATTCAAGATAACAGTTTAAAGTAACGTAACCATAAACAATAAAACAAGAACATCTAAACAGCAGCACATGTCCCAAGGCATGATGGGAGACATTCCTGGATGTATTTTTACTATCTAAATATGCATATGTACAACAAAATATATTTAACAAACAAGTAAATTGTGTTTTATTACATTTACAGTGATGTTATGTTGTTTTACATTTGACGTGTCAGATCACAGTCTACTTATGTAAATGTAATGATATTCTAGAAAAACAGTACACAACTGTAAACTACACAGTAAAATACTTTGGCATTACTATTTTTTGGAACAGTGTAGCTGCCCTCACTCCCTCCTTACTAATCCTCTGCATTTCCTGATGTCCTCATGTCTCTCTCATTTTCTTCATTCCATCACTCTCTTAACTTGTTGGTATATTTCTGTTTCTATCGTTATCAGTGTTGGTCAAGTTACTTAAAAATAGTTATTAGTAATTAGTAGTAATTAGTAATTAGTTACTAATTACTGATTAAAATTAAATTATATGCAACAGTCTTTAACTCGAAGAAATTTGTTTAACCTTTAAACCTATTTTCTGCTTATTCCAGCATATAAAATGAAATCATTTTTGTGTTTACACTCACTTTTCAAATAGATGTAAGTAAAACAAAGCAAAAAAATAGATAAAATAAAGATTCAAGTCTTAAATCAGTTTTCACATGTTTACCTGGAGTGGGGCCATTGGAGGATTGCCCGGTGCCCCAGCGTTCATGTCAGTGGGGGGATCCGGGGGTTTCTCTGTTAATTTCACATTCCTGTGGTGGCGTGCTATGTGCTTGCTCACATTTGAAGTTGAATTTTTCGCTGTAGAAAGAAGTTTTCTTCCCACACAGTGTACAGCGGACGCTGGAAAATAACTCAAAATGTTAGAAATATTCCAGTGTTAGAAAATCAGCACTGCTCAGTGTTAGCCATTGTTAATCTTCAAAACTGACTAGGTTACTTCTAAACATATAACACTGTCAAAAGTGTTAATTTAACACTCAACAGTGTTGTATTTAACACTCAGAGGTGTGGACCCATATAGACACTCTCTAGTGTTAATTTGACACTGGAGATTTTGCTGTGTAGAATCGCATTTATAAATGCAAGCAGAGGAAAGAACAAAACTCTCACTTATTACATTTGATAGAAAAACCTATTTTAAAAAGAGAGCTAATGCTCTTTAATGTAGGGAAGTATATACCATACCATAAATATACAATTACAGCAAAAACAGTCACGTTCTCCTGGAAGTCCCAAGAAAATGTTACTGCTATGTCCATGTGGCAAATGATGTCACACCAGCAGTAAAAACACCCTCTCAGGGAGCTACATAAGACAGCAGCTTCAACTTTGAATTCAGAAATATGAACATCCTGTACAGTGAAGCCTAAGCAGCACCAGTAGTACCATTTAGTGAAGCTTAAACTTGGTAACTGTCCCATATATTGGTAAGCCCTCTTTTCTCTACTTTTTCCTTTATTTGTGTCTTTTGTTTTTTCACTCAAAGAACATATTGTTCATGCTTCTATATCTTTTGTTTCAGCAGTCAATGATACAAAATTCTTGATGTTGGATTGAAGCATACATTTCTTTTACCAATGTCAGATGGATTCTACTATACTGTAGTGTTATGATTATGACTTGCTGGTAAACATAATAAGATACAGCTTACTTCTCTGCATGTTTTAACTTCCACAGTGTCAACTGTGCTGAAGTGCTTGTCTGATGCACCATCTCTGAAGAATATCAAAGAAAAAAGTCTGTCACACTAACAAAAACATGATCTCTTTCATTCTTACTTTTTCATCAAGTTCTGACTGCTGTGTCTTCTTCAGATGACCACAGAGTTAAACTACTGCAAGGAAGCTGTCCCCTGTTCTGGTACAGCTTCAATCGGCGCTGCTACAAATATGTGGCCACACACATGAGCTGGGCTGATGCAGAGCTCTACTGTGAGTCACAGCGAGCCAACCTGGTGTCTATCCACAGTGAGGAGGAAGAGGAGTTGGCCAGAATCCAAACACACGTTTGTCTGCACAGTCAGCCTAACATGTTAGATACTCTGTTCTAGTTTTATATCCGTGTTAAGTTACACATTATCTTGGTATTATTCATATGCTGAAAATGAAAAAACAAAAAAAAAAATCATCTAAGTTTACATTTTACATTACAGGTTTTAAGTGTTACTCCCAAGTTATTGGAGGCTCTTGTGTTCATCTTCAGTGCCAAAGGTTCAGGCTTAGGATCTCGATCCCACCTGAGCAGTGCACATCAGTTCTGTCAGTGTGACAGAAACCATCATCTTGTTTGTTCTACTTATGTCTACTTAGGCCACACATCAGTAGTGATGTGATTTAATGTACCCTAGTGGAGGGTTTTACAGTGTAATTGTTTCATTGTTTCCTGAACCCACAGTGAGTGGATCTCTGCAGCCAGACGTGTACAGCTGTTTCACAGGCAGCAACATAAGCACATGTCATATTTTTATGTAAGTTTACAAATTAAGTTTACTCAACTGACTAAAGAACTATTTACATTTTTCTTAGGAATGATGCATGCTTCTCATTATGAACAGAAATTATTTTTTCAGATTATTTTTTGCTGTGTGCTTGTTATGACATAAATATAATTCCATAGTCATACAGCACTGTCTGTGAAGATCTCAGATGGCTGGCAGTTCACACTGTATTTACTTCTCTTTCTAAGAAAGAAAAAGAAAGAAAGAAATCAGGCTGCATCGGGGGAGTTTGTTCTCTCTCTGTTTACTAGAGGAGCTGAGGAGTTTTTTTCTTTTCTCTTCCTGTAGATGCTCTGGTCTCATCTGTTTTAGTAACCGATTCCTTTTATGACACAATAGAATATAATTGCACAGTAAAAACAGGCACGTGTGAAATTTTACCTTTTTACTGGCTTGTGTTTAGTCAGTTAGGTTTGATTAGTCATCATGCATATAACACCTTTATTGTACAATAAATATACGCTACACAACAAAAAACAAACAACCTTTGTTAATCTCTTTGGAATTTGTTTTTTTTTTTCTGGCTTATGTTTAGTGTTGTTTACAGTGTATAATTTTGGTCCAGCTGGCCAGTGATGTCACACCAGCAGTGAAAACACCCTCTCTGGCAGCTATAAAAGAAAGCAGCCTCGAATCCTGTACAAAGAAGCTTCAGCAGCTCCTCATCACACTTTGAGACTTAAAGCTCCAACATGATCTTGCTCCTCTTCTTGTTTGGTCTGGCTCTGGGTGCTCCTTCTGAGTCTCCGTCTGATGGCAATAAAATGAAGCTCCAACTTGGTAACCATTCTATGTTTTACTTCGTAACCATTCTATGTTTTCCTTATGTTTCTGATGTTTTTTGTTTCAGCAGGTAGTGTTATCCAAAAAGTATTAGTGTAGGATTATAATATGGATTTCTTTTCTTCCCATACCAGATGGTTTCTGCTAAATCATAGAGTTATGATAAAGACCTGCTAATAACCATAATAAGCCCCACTTTCTTCTCTGTGTATTTTAACTTTCACATTGATGGGCAGACTTTCATCTTTCATTTTGGCACCATAAATAAGTAAGATTAAAGTTAGATAATAGACTTCTTACAAAGTGAAGCCATGTACAGTAACAGTCATTTCAACTTTCACTGTGGCAGTTATTTGTAGCATTGATCTGTAAATGACAGACATGTAACCAATCTTCTCTGAATAGTTCAGGGCTTTAACAATGAAGATGTGAAGGCTTGAAAACTAGACCAAAGAAAACAGTCTGTCACCAGGTGTCACCCTTGAAATACCAGAGCTGACCAGCTTTATTTCTGCAAAAACACGATCTCTTTAACTCGTACTTTTTCACTTGATCCTAACTGTGTCTGTGTCTTCTTCAGATGACCACAGAGTTCAACTACTGCATGGAAACTGCCCCATGTTCTGGTACAACTTCAATGGCCGCTGCTACAAATATGTCGCCGCACATATGAGCTGGGCTGATGCAGAGCTCTACTGTGTGTCACAGGGAGCCAACCTGGTTTCTATCCACAGCCAGGAGGAAGAGAACTTTGTCAGAACCTTAATTAAGAACTTTGACCACACTGAGGGAATCACATGGATTGGTCTGAGTGACCTTCATAAAGAAGGCAGATGGATGTGGTCTGATGGTTGTGCAGTTCGGTTTGTCCACTGGTGTCCACAACAGCCAGACAACTGGAAGGGAATTGAACACTGTGGTCACATGAACTATTCAAATGTAAAGAAGTGGAATGACTTCCCATGTTCTGTAATTTCTCCTTCTGTTTGTGCAACACGAATAACCTGTCCTAAAACATAAAACAAAACAAAAATATACATTTAACCTTCAATGTTTCTGTTATATGTCTTTTATATGTTTGTGTGACACTGACAAAATTCCATTGTTTTTAAAACCTTACTATGCAGCATTAATGACTAACCTTGTATTGTGGATGGATTATGGTAACGGTAAAGACAGTTATTGATGGTATCGTAAAACCATTAAAATATATATTCAACTTGTCGTTTCAAAAAGGAGTTTTTCCACAAAAAATGAAAGTTGCTAAAGTTATTCCCATTTACAAAACCGGTGAAAGACATCATTTTACAAACTATAGACCAGTGTCAATACTCTCCCAGTTCTCTAAGATACTGGAAAAACTCTTCATAAAAAGATTTGACAGTTTTGTGGAAAAATATGAATTAATGACAGATAGTCAGTATGGGTTCAGAAACAACAGATCAACAGCTTTGGCACTGATAGATTTAATGGAAAAGATAACGGAATGTATGGATAATAAGAGGTATGCGCTCTGAGTTTTCTTAGATCTAAAGAAGGCGTTTGATACTGTTAATCATGAAATTCTATTAAAAAAACTGGAAAAGTACGGGTTTAGGGGAGTGGTTTTGGAATGGTTAAAAAGCTATGTAGGGAATAGGCAACAATATGTACAAATAAATGAATATAAATCTAATTTGATGGATATAGCTTGTGGAGTACCTCAAGGTTCAGTACTGGGTCCAAAAATGTTTATTATGTACTTAAATGATATCTGCAGAGTATCGGAGATTTTAAAGTTTGTAATATTTGCAGATGACACAAATATACTGTGTGCAGGTGGGGAATTGCCACAGGTTTTGGAAATGATCACACAGGAATTAACGATATTAAAGAAGTGGTTTGATATAAATAAATTATCATTGAATCTCGATAAAACCAAATTTATGTTGTTTGGAAACCAAAAGAAAAACATCGAAGTAGAAATATGTGTTGACAATGTATATTTAGAAAGAGTAAATGAAATAAAATTTCTTGGGGTGATCATTGACCACAAGCTCTGTTGGAAGCCACACATTACTTATGTTCGGGGGAAATTGGCACGGGGCATTGCCGTCCTGGGAAAAGCAAAGCATATGTTGGATCAGAAAGCACTGCACATTTTATACTGTGCTTTACTACTGCCATATATGAGCTACTGTGTAGAGGTCTGGGGAAACACATACAAAAGTAACACACAAACAATAACTATAATACAGAAAAGGGCCATTAGATTAATAAATAATGTAGGGTACAGGGACCATACAAATGCACTCTTTGTCAAAATGCAAGCTATTAAATTCCAAGACTTGGTGAAGCTTAAAACAGCGCAAATAATGTATAAAGTCAGAAATAAATCGCTTCCCAAAGAAATCTGTAAATTGTTCATAGAAAGAGAAGGTGGGTATAACTTAAGAGGGAAATGGAATTTAAAAATACAAAGTGCTAGAACAACTTTAAGAACTATGTCAATCTCAATTGCAGGAGTTAAATTATGGAACAGTCTAACAGAAGAAATAAAAGACAGTCAAAACATAAAACAGTTTAAAGTAAAATATAAAAACCTAATTTTAAATAAGTATAAGAATGAAGAAAACGGGGTTAACCCAGGATGGTAATGTTGCTGGTAATGGTGTTGCGGTTCTTTTTTGGTTGTTTTTTTGTTTTTTTGTTTTGTTTTGGTTTGTTGTTTTTCCATAACTTGTGTATCTGCAAATATACACATTCTGTATTTTTCATATGAAAGAAACTATACTGTGGTGGGGCTTGCTAATTTCTTGTTTTTGATTTATGTATGTTATGTTTTGTTTTACTTCATATGTTTATATGTTTCATATGTTGTTTGTTTAATTTAAGACAAAAAAAAATTAAATGAATGAGAGGTAAAACTTGAGGGGGTAGGGACAAATAAGTAAATACTTCAGCCTACTCTTTTTCAAACAAATAATGGAATGATATTTTGTAATGATTGTGAAGGCACATGTTTGAAATGTTTGAAATAAAAATGAACTGAACTGAACTGAACTGAACCTTGTCTTCTTGCTGGTTCTGGGTGCTCTATCGACTTCAGATGAACAAGAAGTACATTTATTGTGTGGTAACTGTCCCCAACCCCTGGTACAGCTACAGCTGCTACATGCACAATGCTGTAACTATGACCTGGGCTGATGCAGAGCTGCACTGTGTGTCAGAGGGAACCAACCTTGTGTCCATCCAGTCAGAAGGAACATAATTTTATCCAAACCTTGTGTAAGACCTTAAGTGGTGAAAATGTCTTCACTTGGATCGGACTTGGTGACATTCACAAAGAAGGCAGATGGATGTGGTCTGATGGATCTCAAGTCAGCTTTGAATTATGGGGTCAAGGAAAGGAGACCTGTGCACACATAAACTTTGGCCCAGATGTTATATGGAATGACCTTGAGTGTCCAAAAAACCCCTTTCTTTTGTATGTGCAACTCGCACTACTGGTCGTTAGGAATTTAAAAGAAAAGACATGTCTGATACAACTTACTAATTATGACTGTATAAACTGGTTAAAACACTTTAAGACTGCACAGTAAAGATTCATGTTGTTATGATGTCATGATCAGATGTTTACTTTTGTTTATTTTTGTTTACACGTGTGGCTCCTTCCATTAGATCATGTGCAGGTGTGTGCAGCTCTCCTCTCTGCTCCAGCTGAAAGCCACCTCGGCCCACTCGCTGCCTCCTCTCACTGTTCTTATTGTTAGGAATAAATATCAGATGCACAATTTGCATTACATTTATTTACATTTATATTGTGATTTACATTGCATGTTAAATATTGTTCAATATTGTGAGTCCTCCTGAACCCATTAAGACATTTCATATTAAACATCCTGACATTCTGATGTTATCTAACTCCTGGGCTTATGTTTTGTTGATTTTATATCCTTGTGATTTGTATCTTGAAAGACAACATAAATTTACTTTACTTGCATATTTGCTTAACATTGCTGTGCTGAGGAGAGACTGAGAACGGTGCCTTCATGGTGAAATGCTGTCTGCTATTTCCACAACTTAAAGCAGCATAGTTTAGTCTTTGATTCCAAGCCTCCCCGCCCCCATCAAATGGTTTTGTTTTTGTCTCTGCTTTGAAACACCAACAGCCCCCAGAATGGAGCACAAGTTATGCAGAACCTCTGTGGATTAAGTGAATGCAAACTCTAAAAGCAAGATGTCTGACGTTCAACAGACAGTACTGCTGTAGTATTTCCAAAGATGTTGTGTATTTTTCTATCCAGGTATGTATTTTACTATATTAGCAGTAGGAATGTTTCTGGCGATTAATTTCTTAGGGTGTTTTCACACCTGTTTACTCTGGTCTCAATTGGTTGATGAATTTGTAAACTTGTACTTCCCCCTGGTTAGGTTTGTTTTCAGATACAGAACAATCCAGGTCAACTCCAAGTTGATTTGGGAGGAGTTTTTTGAGGCCATGGAAGAAGACTTTCGGACTGCCTTGAAGCGATTCTGGCAAACAGTCAGGCGACCCAGGAGAGGGTAAGCAGCAACCACAGTGAATAGTACAGCTGTCATGCCATGGCAGTTATCCCCGACAGAATTTGTGTCCCTGCGTTTAGGCTGAATCTGCCACAATTTGTTCCCCAGTGTTCAAATCATGGAAAAACGTGGTTTGAGAACGTGGTATACTGAGTTTAAATGAATCGAGTTTACACAGACGTGATTATTCTGTTATCAGGCAACAACACTTATCTTGGTTGGAATGGAGGCGGAGTCAACTGGATCCCCTCTCCTTGTCCAGCAACAAGTAGCGAGCTCCAGACACAGGGGAAACAGATACCTTTGCACGCCGCCTGCCTGAGTCCTGTGTTTTTGTCCTGCTCCAGACGTGAATATGCAATCATAGAATGATGCACAAGACCAGACACCAGACAGACAAAATTATTAGCCTTAATATTACACCTTTCTTCAAAACAAGAGTCAAGTTGTTACCTTTTATAACTATACTACTTAAAACTACTAAAATACTTAAAGTTTTGTTAAAGTTCCTTAATGTGGCATTTACATCCTGTGCTTTCACTTTCCGGATGTTTGATTATATAAGCGGGGTCACTTGCAGGTCACCAAATACTGTTCATTATCTGCTGTAAATATCTGGACTCTGTTGTTAGTTCAGGATAGAATAGTTTTATTGTAAAAGTCATTCTTGGCAAAATGATATAAAAGTAAACACACATGTACTGTATTGTCACAAGCATTTACTCACCCATCCAAATCATTGAATTCAGGTGTTCCAATCACTTCCATGGCCACAGGTGTATAAAATCAAGCACCTCGGCATGCAGACTGCTTCTACAAACATTTGTGGAAAAAAATATCTCACTCTCAGAAGCTCAGTGAATTCCAGTGTGATACCGTAACAGGATGCAACCCGTGCAACAAGTCCAGTCATCAAGTTATCTTGCTGCCAAATGTTCCACAGTCAGCTATTAGTGGTATTATAAAAAAGTGGACGTGATTGGGAATGACAGCAACTCAGCCACAAAGTGGTAACAGTCCCGGTCTCCCTTCAGGGTTTCCACAGATTCCAAATAATTACCAAACGTTCATGTGAAATAAAGGCTGCTCACCACTCCATATCCACAGGTCCTCCAAGCAAAACCTGAGCACAGGGAGAAGCAGGTTAGACAATGGATTATGGCGCGAAACAAAAACTGCAAATCTCATAATTCAAAAGAGGACATATTGAAGGATTTGTAATGATGTAGTATTATTGATGCCTATACTGTCAGCAGCCAAGATCTATTGCAAACTATCAAAAGATGGATTCAGGGTTACCTGATCCAGCGCTAACTATAAACTTTATCAAAAATGAAAATTTAAGCCTAATTTTAAAAGTAGAGTGGGTGTCTGTCTCCCAAATCCAAACCGGAAGCTGGTTTCACAGAAGAGGGGCCTGCCTCCCTTTCTATTTTATACATCCTAGAAACCACAAGTAAACCAGCAGCCTGACTGCAACATGCTCTCTTGGGGTGATACTACAGTACTATGGTAATAAGCATACAACAATAAAAATGTAAAAAAAAAAAAAAACTTCACAGTTCAATTTGCTGTGAACTTAATGAGTTTAAAAAAATAAACTGTGGCATGTGTGAAAGCTTGTGCAAATGTTTAGATAAAATCTCAGAATTCTGTAAGTTCCTTAATGTGGTATTTGACAACTATTTAAGACTTGTAGCTAATAAATCTCATGGCTTTTGCCAGCTAGAATGACATCTTTTGCTTTTGCTTTCTGTGGAGTTATGTGTGCAGGTCCAAATACTATTCATCCTTATCTGATGAAATAAGATAATTTCATCAGATAAGTCGAGGTGGTTATCTGTAAATACCAGGACTTTGTTCTTAGTCTATTTTTATGTTTTGTTTTTTAGTTTATGATAGACTGCTTTTATTGTATCATGAAAGTTCTAGTAACTTTAGCATGTATTTTTGATGGTCAGTGTGAGCAGCTAGGGAAATGTCCTGACTGAGATATGAAAATGTGTGTGTGTGTGTGTGTGTGTGTGTGTGTGTGTGTGTGTGTGTGTGTGTGTGTGTGCGTTGCCCTCACCGTTGTCAGTGTCTGCATTTGGGTCCTCATGTTGTAATTCTTCATAGAAACTAAAAAGCATAATGACATAATAGTGCTGACATTTAAACCAAAGTGAGAAAACAGCACATTTATTAATAAATATGTCTTAATAGTTTGTTATTTTCTTATTTACTTTAAATTGTCCTGCCAAAATGAAAGCGATGATCCTTCTGTGTGGAAGGACTTTGTTCTCTTTATGTTAGATTAACTCGTCTGTTTTACTTTTCCTTTCGTAGCTCTGACCTGTCCTGTTTAATTGTTCATGGCCTTGATAAGGCTTTTTACCATGCAATAAATATATAACTACATAAAATAAAGAGTCACGTTCTCCTGAATGTGCCAAGAGGAAACTGTTCAACAGTTAAACAATTATGAATTTCTTTTCGGGCTTATAATTAATATTATTGTTTATGGTGGAGAGTTTTGGTCTATCTGACCAATGATATCACACCAGCAGTAAAAACACCCACTCAGGCAGCTATAAAAGAAACCATCCTACATAAGGAAGCTTCAGCAGCTCCTCATCATACTGTGAGACTTAAAGCTTCAACATGATCTTGCTCCTCTTCTTGTTTGGTCTGGCTCTGGGTGCTCCTTCTGAGTCTCCTTCTGATGACAATGAAGTGAAGCAACAACCTGGTAACCGTCACATTTTCTAGCTCTTATTTTCCCTTATTTACTTTTACCTTTATTTGTGGTTATTATGTTAGCAAAAGATCATTTTATGTGGATATTTGTTACCTTATGCTCCTCTTCTTTGTAACTGTGAATGAGGGAAAAGCTTTTGCTGAATGCATTTGACCAGTGGCATTATTTCAACTGTGCAGCCATGATTCTCTGCAGCGCTTAAATTAAAGCAGTTACTTGTTTCAATACCAGCAGAGCATTTTCACCTCTGTTTCTGTGACTCTGAGAAAAAAAATCTCTTCAACTTTTTAACAGTTTCATCCAGCCCTGAATTCTGTTTTCCTTTCAGGTGAACGGAAATTTAAACTGCAACGTGGAGCCTGTCCCATGTTCTGGTGGAGCTTCAATGACCGCTGCTACAAATATGTCGCCACCCGCATGACCTGGGCTGATGCAGAGCTCTACTGTTTGTCACAGGGAGCCAACCTGGTGTCCATCCGCAATACAGAGGAACAGAGTTTTGTGAAAAACCTGATCCAGAACTTTGACCACGCAGAGGGACTCACCTGGATTGGACTCAGTGACAAGCATAAAGAAGGCACCTGGATGTGGTCCGATGGTTGTCCACTGCGTTTTGTCTACTGGAGTCGAACACAACCAGATAATGAGAGAGGAAATGAACACTGTGTTCACACCAATGTAGTATCAGATAAGAAATGGAATGACTACACGTGTGCTAACAATTTACCTTATATTTGTGCAACACGCATTACCTGTCCTTAGAAGCACTGAACCTTCTGTTCCTGCTAGTACAATGCTACAATAAAGATGTGAATGCACACTGTAACCTGTCTTTTGTGTGTCTGTGCAAAAGTCATTAAATTTCACTCACCTTGATTTTCATGAATACAGAATCATCCACTGGTAGCTCTGATGGTGGATCACAGGGAATATTTACTCATTGTTTTAATCTCACAGCCAGTGTTGGGGACTAACGGAATACATGTACCGCCGTTACACATTTAAAATACAAAATATGAGTAACTGTATTCCGCTACAGTTACCGTTTATATGGGTTGGTACTTTACTTTGTTGAAATAAATGGATTACATAGCGGTATTTTCCTGTTTCATATGTTAGGCTATGCCCTCTCTATTTTTGGTAATTCCACGCTGGTGTAAAACCAGACAAAACACACATTAAGAGGCAGTAATACCTGTATCTCAATCTAACGGTCCACCACCCCTATTTGCAGCCCATATAATGACGTGAATAAAAAATTATTCAAAAAATTATTTAATAAGAAGGCAACAGGCAGAGTGTTACAGGCATAGCCCTAAAGGATGTAGCCTCATGGGCAGTGTAGTTCGTGCTGCAGGGAGAATGGACTGCCATACCTGTTATGTGTCTGTGAGCGCCAGGAGGGAGAAAAAGGAGAGTTGAAAAGTATGAGTTGTCACCGACCAGAAACGGGAGCTAGAAGCATGTAAATATAATAATAACCACTGCAGCCAAAAACAGTGCCTGATGAGCCCAGTTGTAAGTAAGCTATTAAGACTGTACACTGTGTTCGTGTTTTTCTCCCAAACAATAAGTTCTGTTGGAGCAGCCTTTCAACGCCTCTCTCTGTCTCTCGCTAGAAAAGTTGACCCAGACAACAAAGTAAAGCTAGTGTTCAGCTACCAGTGTTGGGACTAACGCGTTATTAAGTAACACGTTACAGTAACTACGTTATTATTGTGGTAACGAGCACGGTAACTAGTTATTATGCCAAAACCAGGAACGCGTTACTCGTTACTGGGATTTAGATAGGCTCGTTATTCGTTACTTCGTGTGGTGGCTATCGCGGAGCTTCCACAGATTCAATAACATTAGCAAGTGGTGGAAGCCAGCAGGTGGATCAAGGAAAAGGGATGCAAGAGGAGAGACCCAAAGCAGCCGCTGGTCCGAGAGTGTCAGGTGAACTGGACTTCAGGTAAGAAGTTATGACCTGGGGCCCGTTCTTCGTACCTCGCTAAGTAGGTTAGCTGGATTAGATTGTTGACGATTTCGCGTGATCCTGGATCGTTCGGTTCCCCGAAGCTCATCCGGGACTTGCTGCCATAGCAACAGAGCCATAAGCGTAAACCTGCTCGGGAGCAGGTTTACTTTGTGTAAACAGGATTAGATCGCGGCCACGCAGGTATGTCCGCTTCATTTATACGAAAGCAACAGCGATATTCCATCACTGTTTTACCATAAATAAATAACATCAATGTAACTAAAGATAATGCAGCACCTGATCC